TTTGTTCCATTTATTATTATGAGTGAGTGTGAGAGAGAGAGGAAGAGTGAGAGAGAAAGAAACAGAGATAGAGAGAGAAGGAGAGGGGGGGGCTACCAGAGAGAGAGAGAGAGAGAGAGAGAGAGAGAGGCTGAATGGCAAAATTGAAATATGGGTCAAATTGAGCAGATCTACCTCACAGTTGGAATGATTTTCAAAAATTTATTGAGGGTTTTCCCTGGAAAGATCACAACAAAATCTACGAGTACTCCAATTTTTAGGTTTTTTCACTCATTCTTCTGAGTGCGAAAACTCACTGAATTTGGAGTACTTTTTTAGTTGGCCCACACATGGCTGAGTGGCAAAAATGGAAAATGTGCCGAATCGGCGTGACAATTATTTCGCAGTCTAAATGATTTTTTGAAAATGTTCTAATATTATTACTGGAAAGAACACGACCTCATCTATGGATTCTCAAAACTTCAGATTTTTCTGCGGGTTTGTCCAAACACAGAAAATCGCCAAAGTCGCCACTTGCAAAACACTTGTTTCATTGCGCCTGACCTCCCTGTTTTGAGAAGACGGGCCTCAACGCCTGGGCCTCAGGGCCCTTTTGCAGTTCACATGCCCTCACTTCTTTTGGGGGTCCGCTTCTACCCGAGGTCCGGTCCAACGCCCCCCACCTCTTTTGGGGCTCCACTTCCACCCGAGGACCGGTCCTTCGTTTCTTCAAAAGTCCCGGTTCTACCAGAGCTAGTTGTAGGTAGACTTTTGCCAAGGACCGGTCCCCCAATTTTTTTTGCCCCCTAAGAACCCACTTTGCGTCCTAGTCGCTCATCGCCAAAAATGCAACACCTTGACACAAACGCTGAAACCCACTATACCGCAGCCTTAGGGTTGCGAATCGACCACCTAATTCAGTGGATGCGAAGTGATACACTCCCTCCTCCTTCAGCTCCCACTGCCTGTCTCCGGTGACCCACCAAGGCCCCTTCTCTGAGTGTCCAGGATATCTCTCTTATTGTTCACAGATCCCTGTAGAACCACTGGTCCAGTAAATCCTTGTCTCCTGTGATCCTCGCCATGCGCCCATTCCAACACCATGTCTCCTTGAACCAGATTAAGTCGGACTCCCGATTCCTTGCCTTGCCTACTTTCCTCCGCCAATTCGCCATCATTGACCTCTGTAGCAACTTCACAAGGTTCTCCTTGTTTGTTTATTTGGCCATTCTACACCATTGAACACTCTGTCGTTCCTTTCCTGCCAGATCACTGTGAAACCCACTGCCCTCGCCACCATTGCAACGTATCCCCATCCTTTTGCCACACTGTTGCCTTCATGTACTCCCCCCAAGAGACACCATTCTTTCGTCCACGGGAAGGCTCCTTCCGTGCATCTTTCTCAAAACCGCTTCCACCAGACCCAGATCCTGCTTGAAGCAGGGCAGTCCACCAAAGGTGGACTGTGGACTTAAAGGCCCACTTGCATCTATGCATTTCAAGTCCAGCTTCATCCCGTGTTGTGCCAACCATACTGCAGTGGGGGTCGCTACTAGCGAAACCAGCCACCGATATAGAGGTTTGCAGTTGACAAGGGATCGATTTCAACCGTTCCCAACATTTTTTAAGAGCTCTTCCAACCAGTTCTGGATCGAATGGGAGCAACTATGCCCAACTTGTCCTTGCGATGACCTTTGGGTGCTTTGTGGGGATGATACATTTTTAGTCAATCTTCTGAGTATAGTTAAACAAACACACATTCTCGCCCCTCCTTCCCAAAACCCTCCATTCCCACTCCTTTGAATCCAGTTTCAGTTTCGGTCGGCATTCCCCCAAAACTGTTCCCGGCGGCCTGGTGGCGTCCCCAAATGACGTTGGCGGAAAAACTTTCCCAGACCATTGGCCAGTGGGGTCCAAGCCTAAGTTCGAGGAAATTGTCAGTGAAGGCCATGAATGACCAGGTGCTCACTTTTTTTTTTTTTTAAAGGGGAGAAAGCTCCAATGAGCCGCACAAGCTGAAAACCAGGCCCAACGTCCCATTAGAAACATATTGGAGAACATATACGGAAAAACTTGAGATACCAGGACCATTACTTGACTTTGGTTGAGAAAAGGATCATGAGCAATTTCTAGCCTATGCTTGAAAAACTATGAGACCAGAGGGTCAAAATTTAACCCACCTCCTATCAAAACCTCCCCCCCTCAACAGACGAAACGTCGGTCCAGGCTTTCATTCCTCGTACCAGAACTCACTTGATCTCATACCCCCTTCTACTAGGGTAACAGGGCACCACAACCTTCCCCAGTACTGACTAACCTAGTTTTGACGGACACAAAGTGCCTTCCTCCCTCGGCATCTCCCTTAGCTGCAAACCCCTGACACCAGGTTACAGGGTTAATACCCCGGCTCCGGCTACGTCCGAGTCAGACAGTCTGGTTATGCCTTCCACCCTCGGCATAACTCCACAGACCTCAAGCTTCCCCTAGGTCACAAAGCAAAAACTCCAGCACCGACTTGTG